TCTGTGGACGGGGCCTCGCCTGGCCTGGGCCCTGTGGGGTCGTCGGGGGAGGGGCCTGTGCCTGCCCGTGAGGGCGAGGCTGGGGCTTGGGTCGGGCCCAACCCAGCTACAAGTGGCGTTACCTTGGTGTTATAGATATCATATAGGCGGCCACAGGATGGGCACCAAATCGTCACCACATTGAGGGCTTGGTGACATCGCCAGGCTGGTGCGAAGAGGCCCAGATTCAAATTGTGTTAGATCAAAAGAGAAAAAGGGAGGAGTGGGATGAGGGAGGAGCAATTGGAGGGGGGAGTGAGAGATGGGGGATGGGGAAAGGACGACGAGGGCAGGGGGCAGGGGTGCACATACCGGGGCAGATGGCGTCGCATGAATCTCGGAAGCACCGTCGAGATGAAATGCCACTCACCGCGCCGTTGGGTCAAGTCCGGCACTGGATTCGCCGGCGTCGGTGCCTGTGGCGTTCCGCTGGTGCCAGGGGTGTCGGGCCGGCAAAAATATTTTTGCCAGCCCCAGCCGGCGGTCACCGCGGATTTTCGCCAACCCTGTAAAACATGGGGCCGGCAAAAAATCGGTGGCCTTGTTTGGCACCACGCGGGGGCGGCCGGCACATATATTTTTGCCAGCCCCTCCCCGCTGGCACCATGCGGGGACGGAAACGATGGCGGCGTCCAGGCATCGTTCCTGTTCGGTTGCCCGGGGCTCCGCTGGAGGCCAACCGAGGCATCAGGAGTATCCCAGGGGGTGCAGAAGCATCGGGAACTCAAGGAGTGCATGCTTCAGGCGATCCACAATTAGAACTGCAAGCGCCAGCTCTCACACCAGACCCATGCACGTCCCACTTCTTCCCTCCATCATGGCCCGCGCCTTGGCATGAACATCTGAAGACCAACGCGCGCCTGGCAACTTATGTTTGGTGACCGTCCAGATCTTGCCAGGCATGCGGTGTCACCGCGCTACCCCCCAAGGTATAGCTGGGTTGGGCCCGACCCAAGCTGGGGCCCCTGGCGGCGCGGCCTCGGGCTCTGGGGAGCCTGAGGCGGGGCCGCGGGGGTTCACCGCGCCTGGGGGACACGACGTTACCGCAGCGGGTACGGTAGTCTGGTGTCGGCAGTGCGGGGCCTACGGGTCCGTCAGGACAGGGAAGGAGTTCGGGGCCCCCTGCCCTGACCCCCAAGACTTGGCCCCCAGCAGGCGGCGGGCCCTTTTTCCGCTTGTTGGGGGGCAAGCACCCAAAGTCTGCCAGGACTAGAAGGGGGTCGCTGACTTTGCTTTGTTTCCTTTTACTCGTTGAGAGCTGTGTCTGTGAGCAGACGCTGCCTCTTTAGCTCGTTCCTCGTTCCTCATTCCCCTTTTCTCTTCATCCCGCTCGCCCTCCTCCTCAACCTCCTTCTCCTCAACCTCCTCCTTCTCCTTCTCCTCCTCCTTCTCCTCCTCCTCCTCCTCCTCCTCCTTTTCGTCCTCCTCCTCCTCTTCGTCCTCCTCGTCCTCCTCCCCCTCGTCCTCCTCGTCCTCCTCATTCTGATCCTCCTGGCCTCCCCCCCCTCCCCCTCCTCCTCCTCCTCCTCCTCTCCTCCTCCTCCTCCTCCTCCTCCTCCTCATTCTCCTCCTCCTCCAGCGTCCTCCTCCTCCTCCTCCAGCCTCCTCCTCCTCCGCCTCCTCCAGCCTCCTCTTCCTCTCATAACACTCCTTCTCGTCCCCCTCCTCATACGATTTCTCCCCGTCGTTTCTTCGCCATTCTGGCGCACCCCGCCGCGAGTGGCGTCCAAGTCGGGACTGGATCACATATGGCGCTGTTCGCACCCCGGAACCACGCGGAACCATGCAGGTGGTATCGTGCCGGCTAGGGGTGGCCATCGTTTCTGCTACGTTCGACCCGAACGGCGGTTCTTTTTTCGACTCGGAGTTCGCCTTTTTTTAGCACCACTTCAAATTTAGGGCGGTCTGCTATCAATAGGTGTCCTCCTTCTCCTCCTCCTCCTCCTCCTCCTCCTCCTCCTCCTCCTCCTCGTCACTCTCTACCTCGTCATCGACCTCCTCTTCGCATGTATCCTCCTGCTCCTCCTCCTGTCCTGCTCGCCGTGCTAATCCCTTGTTTTCCTCGTGCTCCTACTCGTGCTCTTCGTCCTCCTCCGCTTCACAGTGCTCCTCCTCCTCCTCCTCCTCTTCCTCCTCCTCCTCCTCCTCCTCCTCCTCCTCCTCCTCCTCCTCCTCCTCCTCCGTCTCGGAATACTCCTCCCCCCTCGTTGATCTCGCAGTCCTCCTCCTCCTCCTCTTCTTTCTCCTTCTCGTCCCCCCCGTCCTGTTCCTCCTCCTGTTTCTCCTCCTCCTCTTCCTGCTGCTCCTCCTGCTCCTCCTCCTTGTCCTCATGATCCTCCTTTTCCCTCCTCGTTCTCCGCTTCCTCCGCCATGCAAGGGTTGCCTTCGCACTCTCGATGCCGCTTCCAGGAGGCACCCTCGTCAGGGATGCCCTCAAACAGGTAACGTTTGAGCCTGGTCCCGTCTCCCTCCTCCACTATCCCGCTGGCGCAGCACCTCGGACCTCGTTCCTCCTCCCTTTCTCCTGCCCGATCCCGCCTCCTCCCTGCCCGCCGCGCTCCAGCCGAGGCCTCGCCACGAGTTGCTCCAGCACGGCTCCTCCCTGACCAGCCCCCTGCAGTCTGCCAAGGAGTCGTGCTCGCGCCGCGGCGCCCGGTGCCTCCTCCGTCGGGCCGGGGGCGCCCAGGCTCCTGCCAGAGCACAGCTCGGCAACGGAAACAGAATCTCAAAGCGCTCGTCTGGGTCTGACCCCTCCTCGCTCCTCTCTAGGGGGGCCACATGCGAACCCTGCCCCATACCCCCCACGATTTCTGAGGGGCAGGGCGGGCTTCACTTCGCTCAGAAATCGTGGGGGGTAGGGGTAGGGTTCGCATGTGGCCCCCTATTCTCCCTTCCCGCTCGGAGCGCAGAGCTGCGAGGATGTGTCATGGCGAAACCGGCCCGACCACATCTCGCGCGCGGCATCTCGGGGCCCCAGGTTGCGAGGATGTCTCGGGCGAAACAGGCTAGCCCACGTCGCGCATATTTTCTGAGAGCCAAGAACTGCGAGGATGCCGCAGGCGAAACGAGCTGGGCCACCCTGCGCACATCTTCAGGGAGCCTGGAGTTGCGAGGACGTCGCAGGCGAGAGGCGCCAGACCGCCGTGCGCGCAGCATCTCGGAGCCCCGAGCTGCGAGGATGTATCTGGCGAAACGGGCTGGACCACCTCGTGTGCGACATCTTGGAGCTGAGAGTTCCGAGGGTTTCTCAGGTGGCGCCCAGACCCTTCGCAGAGCACAATTCGACAACATCTTGCGTAGCCACATGATTCGTTTGTGTCTGACTCCTCCTCCTCCTCCTCCTCCTCCTCCTCCTCCTCCTCCTCCTCCTCCTCCTCCTCCTCCTCCTCCTCCTCCTCCTCCTCCTCCTCCTCCTCCCTCTCGGAGCCCAGAGTTTCGAGGATGGGAGCCCCGACAATCGAAACGGGCTGGACCACCTCGCGTGCGACACCTGGGAGCTCAGAGTTCCGAGGATGGTCCAGGCGGCTGGGTCTGACCCCTGCTCCCTCTGTTTCTTCCCTCTCGGAGCCCAGAGCTTCGAGGACGTCTCACGCGAAACGGCCCAGACCATCTCGCCCGTAGCATCTCGGGGCCCCGAACTGCAAAGACATGTCAAACGAGACCAGCCACACACGCACACCCTTGCGCACAGTTTCTCAGAGCTCAAGGTTTCGATGGTGTCTCAGGCGAAACGAGCTTGACCACCTTTCGCGCAGCATCTCGGAGATGAGGGGCGCGAGTGCCAGATTACCTCTTGCGCGGCAGCTCGGAACTCAAAATTGCGAGGATGTCTCGGGCGAAACGAGCTGGACCACCTCGCGGGCGGCAGCTCGGAGCGCAGAGTTGCGAGGATGTTTCAGGTGAGACGGGCCAGACGACCTCGCGCGCGGCATCTCGGAACCCCGAGTTGCGAGGATGTTTCAGGCGCGCGACATCTCGGAGGCCAGATATGCGAGGATGTTTCAGGCAAAACAAGTTGGACCACCTCGAGCGCGGCATCTCGGGGCTGAAAGTTTCGAGGGTGTCTCAGGCGAAATGGCCCAGACCACCTCGCGCGCGGCGTCCCAGAGCCCAGATGTTCAAGGATGTCTACGGCGAAACGGCCAAGACCACCTCTCGCACGGCATCTCGAGTCTTGGAGTTTCGAGGATGTCTCAGGCGAAACGAGCAGGACCACACCGCGCGCGGCGTCCCCGAGCCCAATGTTCGAGGATGTCTCAGGCGAAACGGCCAATCTTGGACAACTCAGAACCGAGAGTTGTCAGAACGCCTCAAGCGAAACGGCCAGGAGCACCAGATTTGTTTGAGGCACAACAGCACCCCCTTCAGCGATCTGCTTGGGGAGCAAAAACACGCGCGAAACCGAATATTGCACTGGGAATGGACGTCGGAGCGGAGGAGGAGGAGGAAGAGGAGGAGGAGGAGGAGGAGGAGGAGGAGGAGGAGGAGGAGGAGGACAACGGCCAGAATTCGACCCACCTCCCCGCCTGGGCGGGAGCCGGGGCGGGCTCGGACAGAAAGCCGATCGCCTCTTCTGGTGGGGCGGAGCTCGGTCTCTGATTTGGCCGTCTCCCGCCGCGCCAGGCAAGGTGTCGGCGGCGCGCCGAGCGCGGAAGTGAGAGAGAGAGAGAGAGAGAGAAAGCTCCGAGGGGGAAGGTTCCGGAGGCTCTTCGAAAGTCTTCGAGGTCTGGCGTGGGTTCCATCGGCCGCGACCCGTCGAGGGCGCCCTGGGGGTGCCAGAATCGCCCCGAAGGGCCGCGGGGGGCCCGAAGTATGAGGAGGAGGAGGAGGAGGAGGAGGAGGAGGAGGAGGAGGAGGAGGAGGAGGAGAGGAAAGAGGAGGAGGGCGGAGGAGGGCGGAGGAGGAGGAGGAGGAGGAGGTTCCGTTCGCCCCCCCCCCCCTCCCCCCCCCTGGCCGCTCAGGCCAAGAACGCGGCGTACGAGACCGCGACGGACGGGGTCAAGATGGCGAAAGTTGCGCTGCAGGCAAGCGCGCGCCAAACCCGGGGCACCGCCGCTGCGAAGCCTCCCTAGGAGGGCCCCGCGCTGCCCGCAGACGCGCCGCCGTTCTCCTCCTCCTCCCACTCCTGCTCCTCCTCCTCCTCCTCCTCCTCCTACTCCTCCTCCTCCTCCTCCTCCTCCTCCCCCTCCTCCTCCTCCTCCTCCTCCTCCTCCTCCTCCTTTTCCTGTTCCTGTTCATGTTCCTGTTCCTCCTCCTCCTCCTCCTCCTCCTCCTCCTCCTCTTCTCCTCTTCCTCCTCCTCCCCCTCCTCTCCTCCTCTTTCTCCTTCTCCTCTCCTCCTCTCTCCTCCTCCTCCTCCTCCCCTCCTCCTCCTGCTTCTGCTCTCCTCCTCCTCCTCCTTGTCCTCCTCCTCCTTGTCCTCCTCCTCCTCCTCCTCCTCCTCCTCCTCCTCCTCCTCCTCCTCCTCCCCCTCTTTCCTTTATCTCCTCCTCCTCCTCTGTCCCTCCGCCTCCTCCTCCTCCCTCCTGATGCTGCTGCTGTTGCTGATGCTGCTGATTGTCCTCCTCCTCCTCCTTCTCCGAAGCCTTTAGGCTGAAGACAGCGAGTCCCTCAACATAACAAGTGTATACGCGGCAAGTTCCCCAGCAGTCTACGAGGAAATGGAGTTGCGCGCTGCCTGGGCCAAGCTCCATACCCCAGCCTCACTCACGCCACGCGCTGCCGACGGCCTCGTTTTCGCGACGATCGGGTTGCGCGCTGCCAGTTGCTTCCGTCTCGAGCGGGCATGGTGGATGAGATGTCTGCTAAAAGGTGGCGGTGGTGTGGGCGAGAACGACAATGGTGCAGAGGAGAAGCGAGCGAAGCAGGGCCGAGTCGCCATCCAACGCGGCAGAGAAGTGGCCTTCTTCACGGGACGGCGTGGCACTGGCGGCAGATAAGAGTGCAGCCGGCAGCCGACACGGAGGCGGAGCCCAGTCGAGATAGCACGCCGCCCCCGACGGCCTCACCACGGAAGGCGGCGCACACACGGATGCTTCACACAAGATGATCTTGTGTAACACATCCGTGCCGTGTAGGGTAGCGGCGATGGCGACTCTTGGAGATAACCGCTGCGGTGTGCAACGTGGAAGAACCACTCCGCACTATACGAAGGTCTGGTGTGTGTGGCTGTTTCTCTACGACACACCATGTTGTGTGCGGGCGTTTTGTACAATCAGATAGTTTGCTAGCTGAAGTGCCGCATCTCCGTGCCTGCCCAGCAGGATCAGTTGTGGAATTGGACGTCTGGTGGCCGCACCACTGGAAATTAGCTGGTCGAGGGGAAGAGGCGCCACCGAACACGACTCTCACACAGGTCAGCACCACAGCTCTGGGGGCACACGCGGCGAAACAAGACAGGCACATCACGTAGATCGAGGGGGCGTGGCCGAGGTGCGGGCTCCATTCCAGAAGCAAATACTTATATTGCAGGAGCCACGGGCGGCAGCACAAGGACTCCAACGAGAGCTGGCGACTGCAGAGCGCATGTTGCGCTGGGTCAGCGCAGAGGGCGCAGTCAAGTACGACAGGGACCGGGACAGCAGCTTCCTGTGCATCAGCGCGCCCGACCCCATCCGACGAAGCGGCTGTGGAGGCGGCTCGTCATCTCGTGGCTAACCGACATCGGTGTCGACCACGCAGACTTCCGAATTATCGGGGAAGGCCGTCACCGACGCTGCCAAGTTCAATTCCTCGGACACGGAGCAGCGGCAGCAGCAAAAGCAAAAGCAACAGCAAAAGCAATGAACGCGTTCTGGATGATCAAAGCAGCCTCATAGACAATGGATGTGGTTAGCGGTGGCAGCGGTGGCCGACGGGAGCGCGCAGCCTATCTCCATCGCACTGGACGCGAGGAGTCCGAGACAGCAGCGCATGGGAAGCCAGCGCGTTTTTTTTTCGCACATCGCAAACTCGCTCGCTGGTGACAAGTGGCGCATGGTCAGGTGCAAACGACAGATTGCCCACAAAAGAACTCCTTTCGTTCGGGCCCAAGTGGGCCTGCAATATGGTGGCGCCCCCACGCTGTGTTGGAGCCGTGCGGCGGTGGGCCAACTCACCAGAGGCAAGATCATCCGGTTCGACAAGCGGCGGATCATGGCGCTCTCTGACGCGATCTCCATACCCGCGGACCTGGAGGTCGAGCGGCGGATCAGTCGCTGCGTTTGCGCCGTGGCGGAGCTCGCGCCTCCCTAGGCCCGGCGAAGACAAGCTCGCGGCGGTGGCGGGGGGGCGCGGGGGGGCCCGGGCCCCCGATGCACTTCGCCCCCTGGAGCGCGCGAGCTCCCCTGCATCGCGACCCGCCGAACCGCGACGCCAAGATGAAGCACATGGCGCGACAGATGCCCGCGCCGCAGGCGATCCGAGAGGACCGCGGACCCGAATTGGAGTTGCGACGAACACGACTTAGTGCACGCCTCGCGGACATGCACGACATGTTCTGCTCAATCCCTGCGCGCGGCGCTGGAGCAGCGGCAATCCTCGTTCCGAGGCTGGGCGAGCACGCCGAGGTGCACGTTGAAATTGCCATCCCTGTCGAGTGTTTTGCGTCGCGTTCAACCTCCCACCCCGCGCGGCGATTCCGCGTGCTGCGAGGGCGCGAGCTCGACTGCACGGCGCGCGCAGCTTCGAGCTGGCTGCGGGGGGTGGGCAATATCGGGGCCCGTCTGTCGACGGAACGCTATCGCTGCCAGCGCGCCCGCGAGCGCGCGTCGACGGTGGCACTGGGCGACTTCAGTTTCTCAGACAGGCCTCCCCATCTACTTCTGCCTGCATTCGCCCCCTGGTGGGCCGCGGCGCCTCGAGCGCGGACGGGCCCTCGCAACTTCGCTCGCGCGCGGGCCAGGCGGCGCGGCGCCGGGGGGGCGGCGCTCGCCCCATATCGTGGCGCCGCGCGGCAGCGCGACGACGAATGGCGTGGCCCTGGGGCATTAAGGAGGGGAAAAAACACAGAGACACAATGAATCGTCGATTCCCAGAACATATGGGAAAATACAGTATTGGAAGTGGGGGGAAGACAGAAGCCCAGAAACTATGGGAACATATGGGAAATATTTCTAGTTGTGCGTATTTATTTGTGTGTCCTGGGGCCCCTTCGGACATGCGGAGCCCCGTGCTTCGCGAACCGCCCGCCTCTTCGTTGCGCTGCCCTCCTGGCTGGCGCGGCGCTGGCGCGGCGCTGGCGCGGGGGCTCGCGCGCGATGTCTGGCCCCGGCGAGCTCTTCGACGCGGGCGTCTCGGACCGCGCGCCCGCGTGCAGTGGGGCGGCAGCCATGCGCCCGATGCCCAGGGGGCAACGGAGGATCATTGAGCTCATCTTCTGGCACCACCTGAGGGAGGGGGAAGCCGGAGGAGAAGGGGGGGGGAGGAGGACGGGATGACGAAGAGGAGGGGGCGGAGGAGGAGGTGGAGAAGGAAAAGAAAGTTACATGAGCAGGAACAGATCATGCGCTGTTTTCCCTTTTTTGGCGCTTTCCAGCAACTGCGGACAGCGGAGCGCGAGCCCTTGCGCGCGCAACTGCGGGCGACCCGTGCGTCCGCAACTGCGGACCTGTCGTGCTCGGAGCCCTCCTGTCGGTCTGCCTCTGTCGATATTATATATATATATATATATATATATATATATATATATAGATTGCCTTCTGCCCCTGCTGCTCCGCAGTGTCCTCCTCGCTTGCTCCGCCGGGAGCGGCGCCCGCAGCTGCGGACGCCGTGCTCCTCGCCTTCAGGATCGCCGTTGGTTATTGTGTGTGTTCACTGCTTACCAGCCAACCGGGACCGAACCTGCCGCGCCTCTGGAGAGCGTCGAGGGCTGCGGTCCGCGGCAGCCCCTGGATGGGCGCGCGTTGAGTACCTTGTTGGGCGCGGGCAGAAGCGAGATGAACCAACGTATGCCAGCGCGTCCGCAGGGCTTGAGGCTGCCCCCCCCCCCCCCCCCCCACACACACACACACACACAGTGTGGGGGGGGGCAGGTGAGACCCCTTTTTGGCGTTGAACCTCAGGGGAGCCTTCGTTTGGGTGTCCTTGAAAAATCGGCAGGTCCCTGGGCCCCAGCTCTGCCCCAGGCCTCGCGGCGGAGGTACCGCAGGCCTGCCCCGCCGCTCCTTTTCGAACGTCTCGACAGCAGGCGTTTTTCCTTTGCGGGTGCAGCCGCGATGCAGACCCGTCGTCCCTCCCGAAGACGAAGTCCCAGATCGGCAGGCGGACGTCCGTCTGGTGCCGCCCCTCGGCTCTCAACGCAGCGTGCCTCTCGTGATCGTAGCTGCCGACCCTTGGCGCGCATGAGCACGCCGCCAAGCCGCGACTGCGGGTACTGTGCCGTTGAACTGCAACCGTTCGAGACGCGTCGACGAGCTGCGCAATCCGTTCTTGCCACCTCCATTATACTCGTTTGTTTCTGTTGAAGCCCCACGATGGCCCGTCACCCCAAACAACAGCCGCAACTGCGGCAGGCTCGGCGTTCGAGAACACCGCGGGGGCGGACGAGAAGGGCTCGCGCGGGTTCTCGCGTTCGCCGCGGAAATACTTCAAGGCAGCGCTGTGCTGCCTGTAGCTCCCCGTGAACTTTTGGAAAGCACGGAAGTACGCGAGGTCGAAGACTTGCCTTTCAGCGGCCGCAACTGCGGCTTCGTTGAGCGCCGCCGCAACTGCGGCACGCCCCCCCTGCTCGTCTTGCTGCGCCGCGACCTCTCGCGGCTCGTCGCGCCAGCCGCGCCGCTCCCATGACTCGTTGCGCCAGCTGCGCTGCTCCCGCGGCTCGTCGCGCCGGCCGCGCTGCTCCCCCGGCTCGCCCCGCCAGCCGCGCTGCGCCCAGGAGTCGCCCCGCCAGCCTTCCTCCTCTGGTGCCGCCGCAACTGCGGCCGCTGCTTCGCCGCTGGAGCTCGCGGCGCCCCACGAGTCCCACCTCCAACCATCGTTTCCCC